GCTAACGGGATGTGAGCTTTTGCAGGATGCAATTAGTTCATCTGGTCGGTTCCAGCTTTGAAAAGTTCTGTTTGACTCGCTGCTAAGTTTGGCCTTGCTCTGCATTTGGCAATTAGGTCTCTGGCAGTGTTTCAAGGAAGATAAGGTGGGTGTTTATCAACATACTCCTGAAAGACTGTGAGACTGTTAATGACCATAATTCATAGCCATATAAATAAAAGAGGGTTTTGGGGATTAAGATTGTGATTTATGCTTTCTCAGGAAGCCTAGATCAGAACAGAGAATTCTGTCCTAGTGACCAAAAGACCTTGTCTTCCCTTATATGTGACTGTTTTTTATTGAGAATCTCTGACATAGAAGAGCCCAGATTTGGGTGGCTATTTCCATCACTCTCAGCTGTATCCATGTCGATTTTGGCAAAGTTGATACCATATTTCGGTGTAGTTGCAGGATAGGCCAGGTTTTCTGCGGGAGTAAGATCCTGCAGGGCTTGACTCCTGCAGCCGCTATTGCCTTCCCACACTGAGCAGCCAGTCATTAAGAGCTCCCTTTGGGGGGAAAGACGGGGTTGTTCACAGCTGCTTAGAAATGAAGACATTTTGGAAGGGAGACAACTGTCCCGCTGTCATCTCTGGCAGATGAGATGGCATCCCGCATGGAAGTATGGTTTGCTGTCCTTTTAATCGTGTTTTGCATGGAAACTCTGCCAGAGGCGAAGGCACCAATTTCCCTTCTTCCTGGCAACCAGACATGGGTTCGGACCAGTTTGGCCAAATGATAGTGGTTTGGAGGCCTGGGTCGCTGGATCCGGCAGTGACACAGACCTGCCATGACCCTGAATGGGTTCTCCTATAGCGGCACCATCTTAATTTTTGGTTCTGCGCATATGCAGAACAATTTTCATTGCATACATTTATTTCTTTTTTCATTTTTTAGCGTTTTGTGCCTGTGCAGACCTATTTACATGGAAATGTGCACTTGCGTGGAGCGCGCTTCTGGCATGCATGCGAGTGAAGCAAGTGTGCGCACACAAAAATTTGGGGCGCACCAAACTGGCCAAACGTTAAAACCATCAAACCTGTCTTGAATTTGTCGTGTAATCCCAAACTGCCAGACAAATTGAAAATGAAAAAATGAACTTTCAGAGATCTTTGGTTAAACTGATCGCAGGTATTAAGCAGGTGTTAAGTTTGGTCAAAGCTTGTTTATTTATTTGTACATTCCTGAGCTGCTAATTGTTGGGAATGCTTGACTCCATTTGGCGAGGGAGATGGTGCTTAGCTAAGCTGTTTTCCGGCAGAGGCCTCTGGCTTCCTTCTATCCTGTAACTTGGGCTTTCCTTCCTCTCTTGGCTCTCCTCAGCTTCCCTAATCTTTTCCAGGCCCCTTTTAAAAACCCTTTTACTGGGTTCTTGTATTGTTTAACTTTGGACGTCATCACCTCAGAGAGGAATTCGGCCATCTCATGCTCAGGGGAGTCTCCTCTGTTATCATTTCATGGGCCTCCCTGACTGCCAACTGATTTGGAAGACACGCGGTGGGACTCGTGCAAGCAGCTGCCCCTCCTGCAGTACCTCAAGGCAGCACAACTTCTTTTGAGCCTGGAAAAAGGGGTCACGGCTGTGCTATTTTTTTTTAATTAAAAGCTTTTTATTAGATAAGCATTAAAAACATTGGACATAGTGCGACATTTCCGTCATAAACATTTCCATAGAATGATTGGATCTTACAACAATTATATTTTACATCCATTACATAGGTGTATGTAGTCAGTCAGATTACCTGTCTGTTGATCCTTTCTTTTATATAATTGCTAGCCATACAAATACATATCCGATTCCTACCTATCACACATTGTTAATACCATATTTTCCAATTCTTAACTTCTCGGTGTTTTTCTGTCCCGGCCTTTTCCCTTCATTTCTAACCATCCGTACCATTTGTCCCAGATTTCGTGGTATTCTGTCTCACCCTTGTCTCTGAGCTCTAGAGTCAGTCTCTCCATTCTGCGCACGTCAGTATTTTATTTATTTCTTGTTCCGAGGGAGTCTCCTTATTTTTCCATTTTTGTGCAAAAACCAGTCTTGCTGCCATTAAAATATGCAGCATTAAATCTAGCCCACCTTTGCCATGTTTTTCTTTTGTGATCCCTAGTAGAAATAATTCTGGCCTCAACTCCATCTTTTGAGTTAGCATCTTTTCCAAATACTTTCTTCTCTGGTGCCAAAAAGCCCTAACTTTCGTGTGTTTCCACCACATATGCTAGAAGGTCTTTAGTGCCGCATTACATTTCCAACATCGTGGCGATCAGTTTTTGTTAATTTTTGCTAATCTTGTGCGTGGGATGTGCCACCTATACAACAACTTGTATAAGTTTTCCTTATAAAAGGTGCTAATTTTAATGAGGGGATTCCTTCCCCAAGATAACTGCCGTTTGGGCCAGAAATCTGGTATGAGGTTCAATAGCTGTCTTCTGGGAATCTCACAAGATGTCAAATTAAAAGCCTGAAGTTAAATGTGAGAGGCCAGTCTCACATTTGGCACAAATCTAGGTCATTTTGTAAAAAATAAAATGATTTCAGGCATCTTGAGTGCCTGAGGTGATTTGGCACCCACAAGGAATACGGGTAGATGACCTACGGCCACAGTTGGGAGCAGAATATCCATTGCCAAGCAAGGCAGTTGTTAAGTGAATCACATCTCATTTTATGACCTCTTTTGCCATGGTTGTTAAGTGAATCACCAAAGTCATTAAGCAAAGCCAGGTTCTCCCATTGACCTTTTTGTCAGAAGCTGACTGGGAAGGTTGCAAACGACAACCCATTCTTCATCTGTCATAAGTACATGCCTGTTGACAAGCTTCCACATTTTGATCATGTTACTATGAGGGTGAAGTGACAGTTGTAAGTACGAGAACCAGTCACAAGTCATTTTTTTTCAACACTGTTGTAACTATGAACAGTCACTAAACAAATGCTTGTAAGTTGAGGACTACATGTAGTTTGCTGCTTCCTTTACTAGGTTTGGCATCGGTTGGAGGTTCAAATTCTGGGTAGATTTTGAAGTGCCATATTTTCCCCCAAAAAAAGAAGGTGAAAATCTGGATGCGTCTTGTACACTGAATACAGGATTTTTGGCCTCCCAAAACCCCACCCCCTTTGCAAAAATGGACGTGCATAGCCTTTAGGGGGCCTGAAAAGTGCTCCTGGGGGCTGGGGAGGGCATAAATGAGCGAAAAATGAGCCATTTTTTTGCCCGTTTCCCCCAGCTCCCAGGAGCTCCTCCTAAAGCCTCCTAAAGGCTATGTATGCCATTTTATTTTTTATTTTTTTGGAAAAAAAACAAAACAGGCCATTTTTGGGAGGTCTGCAGAGTGCAAAAACTTTTTTTTAAAATTTGCCTCTCCAAAATCTTGGTGTGTTTTATACCCCGGTGTGCCTTATACTTGGTGCCTCTTATATGCTGAAAAATACAGTAGCTGAATTGCTCACAGTGGCTGGAAGTTACCCCAAGATGCTAAGAACATAACTCTACCCTGAAAGGCAGTTCTTGGTCAAGGCAAGTGATGCTTTGGGTCTTGTCTTATGTCCCTGTGCCTGCCACCCAGAGATGAGATCCAGTCCTCCCACTCACTCCCCTTCCCCCGCACCCAATGCATCATGTGCAGATTGCATAATTTTAGGATGTTTTTAGAAAACTTTCTATGGACCAGTGTAGTTCAGTTGGGAAAGGGTTGTGCATCCATAATGACAGAAATTGCTGGCTTATTTTTAAACTGCTTTCTCCAGCCCTGCATTTTGGCTAGGGAGTAATTTCCTAGGGTTTTAACGAGCAAGCAGGAGATGCTCTCTCCTTGGAGGATAATATGGCACAAATTAGTTTGGCCAGCATTTCTCAACAAGCACATTGGCGCCTTACTGTATCTAAATCACCCATCACTCCCATCTAGTTTTGGAAATCTGATTCTTCCCCATCCCTTGCCATTAAAGCTCATTAAGCACATTTCCATGGTTATGGAAAAATTAACATGCATATTAAGAACTGAATAAAGCACAGCTCTTTCAAATGTGCTTATGATGTATAATGTTCCTCACCTAACTTTATTAAGGTAAATATTTCATAGGATGTAGTACGTTGTACTCAAATATGCATTTTAACAATCTTGTTTGTTGAATAGCTCTCTTTTTTTAGTTGTCTCATTGGTGTCTGTCAGTGTCAATTAAAATAAATTAGAAAGACTCTCAAAGTACCCTTGGTGGCAGAATGTAGCTGGATTCCCAGGCGGGAAGGGATGAGTCCCAAAGGAGCAACAGGCACAGTGGTGGGTTGCAGGTGGTATGCTCCGGTGGTATACCGGAGCCTGCCCAGAGCACCGGATACTGTTCCGGTACGGTGCTCCGGAGGGCCCACCTGCCTGCCCAAGCTCCTTACCAGTCTTTTACGTTTTCGGGGCTTCCGTGCACGGTGCGTACAGTGCCTGCACGACACTCCGCTGAGCAGCTGGAGCATCACGGAGGCTCGCAGAGATGCTAAGACGCATGTGTGTGCTGCGCGCATCTATGTGGACGCCCCTGGGCCCATTCCAACTGTACTGGTTGGAACGGGATCCTGAACCCACCACTGAACAGAGAGCAACATTTAGATAGCCTGTGTCAGAGAAAGAGGGTGAAGACAACTCCTCCTCCCTATGCTTCATTGTACCAGTAGTTTGCTTTAGGCAGGCTCGATTCTGTCCAAAGGCATGGAACGATTTTTAAAAGCCAGCTTAGAAGAATCACGTGTCTCTCTCCGGTTTTAGAACCCGACCAATTGTTTTGTGATGTGTGATTGGCAACAAAGGTGGGTATCACTTTGAGCTCTTTTTTGCAGATTTAACTGGAGAGGGAGATATGGAGACCATCCAGATTCGATGCTTGAGCTCTGGCCTCAGTCTTAGACAACCAGCCCAGTTTATGGGGTGACTGAACTCTTACTCTTGTTTGTCTCCCTCCTTTGCTTCAGCTGAAGAAGAAGCAGGTGTACGTGGAGAAGGTGGAGAAGATGCAGCAGGCTTTGGTTCAGTTACAGGCTGCTTGTGAGAAGCGGGAGCAGCTCGAGCACCGGCTGAGGACTCGGCTGGAAAGAGAACTCGAATCGCTCCGCATGCAGCAGGTAAAGGCACTTTCGCAACTTCTACTCCACTCCAGCAAGATTTGGGAAGCATCTGAAAAGTATAGGCAGAAGTATTTGTTCATTAATCAAATTGATGCAGCCACCCATTTCACCCAAAGTGACTCTTGGTGGGCACACAATTGGATAAAGCCACAAATATAAAAAATGTAACAATCTAAATTAAGAAATAAATGGTATAAACAAATCTGCAAGCCCCGAGTCCCATGATGGCGAACCTATGACACAAGTGTCACAGGTGGTACGCAGAGCCATTTGTCAGGGCACACAAAGCGTTGCCCTGTCAGTGGCCAGTGCTCTGGAGCCTTCAGGAGGCCTCCCTGAAGACTCCGGAGGGCAAAAAACGACCCTATGAGCAAACCAGAAGTAACTTCCGGGTTGCTCGTAGGGCCGGTTTTAGCCCTCCGGAGTGTTCAGGGAAGCCTCCTGAAGGCCCCTGAATACTCCAGAGGGCTAAAACCAGCCCTATGAGCAACCTGGAGGGCCAGTTTTTTGCACTCCTGGAGCTTCAGAGAAGCTCCTGAAGCCTCTGGAGCGCCTCCGGGGGGCAGGGGAGGCTGTTTTTGCCCTCCCCAGGCTCCTATAAAGCCTCTGGAGCCTGGGGAGGGCAAAAAAAGCACGCCAAAAAGGGGGGGGACCGCTGGTCGTGCATGCATGCATGCTGGGGTTGTGCACAAAGCATTATGGGTGTGGCATACCCACGCACAACCCCCCTGCGTTCCCCCCGCTTTTGGCACGCAAGCCAAAAAAGGTTCACCATCACTACCCTAGTCAAAGACAGAACCATAAGCGGCCACCTCCTCCAAACGGAGCCATCTGAACATGTCTCTGGTTCCCTGGGAGCACCCACGGCCTAATCACACCGCCAGTTCTTGAGGTCCGTCCTTCCATAACATCCAAAGTGAGGGGAGGAATCTGATTTCAGGGGGAAGGATGTTCCGTAATGAGGACACAACTCCAGAGAAGGCATGTCTTCCAGTGTTCTGACAGGCTTCCCAAGATCATGAAGTAGACTCCTCATCCCGATAAAACCTCTTTTATTTGGGTTAAAGGGAATTCCTCTCCAGCAAAGTCCTGGCAAACGGTTTTTTGAGAGATTTTACAACTGGAGTAGGAAGTTAAGAAAAAAGTCTTGCCAGATAAGGCAGAAGAAACCCACTTTTAAATGGAGCTAAGAGTGTGTGGCTCAGGGGCTGAGACTCTGAGCTTGTTGATCAGAATGGTCAGGAGTTCGTTGGTTCAAATCCCGTGAGCTCCCGTTACTTGCCCCAGCTTTTGCCAACCTAGCAGTTCCAAAGCACGTAAAAAATGCAAATAGAAAAATAGGAACCACTTTGGTGGGAAGGTAACAGCGTTCTGTGCGCCTTTGGCATTTATTCATGCTGGCCCCATGACCATGGGGACGTCTTTGGACAGTGCTGGCTCTTCAGCTTTGAAACGAAGATGACCACCGCCCTCTAGAGTCAGGAACAACTGGCATGTATGTGCGAGGGGAACCTTTACCTTTACATTTAAAGCCAGTCCAGGAGCCAGTCTGGAAGTTTTACTTTAACTGGGGGAGGGGGGGTGCCAAATTCATGTGCCACGTGCAATTAAAATGTTTACTTTGTTAAAATAATTCTACCACTTGCAGAATAATCAAATCTTTTTGAACTTCCTGCGATCTCATCTCCAAAATGCCAGAATGAAAAGCTCCCATGATTTCAAAAGTCTCTTGCAAAATTGGGGTCCCTTTTTCCATTCTTCTATCTCACTGTGATTGTTTCATTTTGCTTTATCTGTGGTGTGACAGGTGCTGTGTGGCCAGTCCCTATATAGGAATATTGTTCCTGCTTTGACATGTGACATCCTTTCATGCTTTGTCACCAGGCAGGGGGTTGGGTTTTGACTGTTATGAGACAGTTGCCACCTGGGACACACTGTGGTCATCCCCACCTTTCTGTCCAAGTAGAGAGAACAAACTGCTCACTCACTGCTCAAGGTAGACTGCTGGGAGGGACCTTGGAGGGCCCCCAGTCCAGCATCTTTCGTGCATCCCTCTCTCCACCTTGACTATCTAAGGAGCACCACCACATATGTTGTTGTTCTGTTGCCTTTTCTTGCCAGCGCCAGGGAACGTCTCAGACAGCCAACGCCTCCTCCGAGTACAACGCTGGTGCCCTGATGGAGCTCTTGCGCGAAAAGGAGGAACGGATTCTGGCTCTGGAGGCGGACATGACAAAGTGGGAGCAGAAGTATCTGGAAGAAAGTGTCATGCGTCAGTTCGCATTGGATGCGGCAGCCACTGTGGCTGCTCACCGGTAAGAGTGCGCACATGGACCGACGGACGAACATACACACACACACACACACACACATTGAGACACCATTTACTCGCATAGAGTTGGCCTCCTCCGTATTCCATCCGCCAGTCAGTGCCGACTGGCAACTACTCGGAGGAGAGCCTTCTCT